GTATGCCGGCTGTTTGAGGAGTACCATAGGAAGATTCCTTCATCTCTTTTGATATCAAACTTTCCCAATGGTTCTCTATCTTTTAGAATATAACATTTGCTTCCAAACACATGTGTGTGTTTTAAATTCGGTGTTCTTCCTTTCCAGATTTGATATGGTGTCATGTTGATTTCTTTTCGAATGAATACTAGGTTTATCAAGTAGCATGCTGTGTTAACTGCTTCTGCCCAGAATCTTGATGGAAGTCTTTTGTGATTTAAGAGGACTCTTGCCATTTCTTGGATGGTTCGATTCTTTCGTTCAACTACCCCATTTTGTTGTGGTGTTTTTGGTGCGGAGAACTCATGATGAATTCCATTTTCTGTGCAGTATTCTTTGAATTTTGTATTCTCGAACTCTCTTCCATAATCACTTCTTAGGCGAATAATTTTTCCTATTTTTCCCTCTTTTTCATTTTGAATTTTGATAATGAGGGTTTTGAATGTTGCAAATGCTTCAGATTTTTCTCTAAGGAAGTTTACCCATGTGAATCTTGAGTAGTCATCAACTGTTACATAGACATATCTTTTTCCCCCTATGCTTTCTGTCTGAGTTGGTCCAAACAGGTCCATGTGTAGTAGTTCTAGAATTCTAGAAGTATATATTCCTGAGGTCTTTTTATGGGCTGTTCGGGTTATTTTGTTTTCAAGGCATGCATCACATTTTTTGTTATCATCTATGTTAAGTGTTGGAACTCCTCGATAGGCTCCCTTCTTTAAACCCTTTTTCATGTCATGAAAGTTTATGTGACCCATTCGTTGGTGCCATAGCTGTGTTTGATTGACGGTTGTCTGTAGGCAAGATAGATCACCATCCCATGTGTAGCATTTATTTGTGGATTTTCTTCCGATCATAACACATTCATGATTATGATTGAGAACATTGCAACTATCTTTTGTGAATTCCACTTTAAGTTCATCTTCACATAGTTGACTTATACTAATCAGGTTTGCTTTTAACCCTTGTACTAGGAAGACTTTTGACAGTTTTGGCAGTCCATGTACACTCAGGATTCCATTTGCAACAATTTTTCCTTTTCTCCATCTCCAAAGGTAACATATCCTTCATCTTTATAGTGTATGTTCTCTAAATTCTCGGGATTTCCAGTCATATGTCTGGAACATCCACTGTCAAAATACCATATATCTTGCTCTTTGTTTGTTTTGGAAGTGTATGCAACATTTTGGTCTTTTCTTACCCAGATTTTCTTGCTGTTATTTCTGTTGTGTGGTGGCCATGCCCTGCTGTTTTGTCTGTAGTAATGGTCGTTTTGTCTTTTGTAGCAATGTGCTTTGATGTGTCCTAGTTTGTGACAATAGTAGCACCTTATTCTTCTTCGATGTCGGAAGTGCTGTTGCGACACTTCCTGTATTTCAGGTTGGTTATTCTCATTGGTGTCCGTGCTTGGAGTCTCGGGTCTTTCGGTAAGCTCCTTAACTTCTTGTAGCAGTTTTGTTTCTCTGTTCTTGAGGTCAAGGAGTTCGTTCTGGGCTTCTTTGTATTGTTTCTCTATTCGTTCCTTTTCATTCTTTAAATAGTGATTATCTTCCATGAGTTCCAGATTTTTCTTGATGATTTGCTCCCATTTGGCATTTAGTTGAGTGTATGCCTCTAGTAACTCTTGCATGTCATCACTATTGTTGTCTTCATGACTAGCAGTGAATGCTACGAAGTTCGTGTTGTTATCATCTTCTTCACTATCTGAGTCATCGCTCAGAGTTGTTATATATGTTTTATTTTTCCTTTTCAAGTATGTAGCACATTCTGATTGAATGTATCCAAAGCCTTTGCATTCATAGCATTGTATTCCTTCAGTAATTGCATTATCTCTTTTCCTTGGATTGGATGGTTTCTGATTTGTAGAATTTACTTGGTTGTTTGAGAAACTTTTATTCCTGGATTTGTTGAACTTCTTGAGAACTCGGTTAAAGTTCTTTGTTAGTAGTGCAATTGACTGTTCCATGGTTTCTGAATCAGTTTCTGAGTTCTCTTCTTGTTTGGATTGTAATGCTATTCCTTTACCATTGTTTTTCTGACCTTGTAGCATCTCCAGTTCATAGGTTTGAAGATTTCCTATTAAGTCACTTAGTCTGTATGTATTCAGATCTTTATGTTCTTGAATAGCGGTGACCTTCATTTGGAATCTTCCGGGTAGTGAGCGTAGAACCTTTTTGACGACCCTATGTTCGAGTATAGGTTCGCCTAGGTTGAATGCATCTCCGGATATACTTAAGACTCTGGCACTGAATTGGGTGATGCTTTCTTCCTCTCCCATTTTCAGGTTTTCAAATTCGGTTTGTATCATCTGAAGCTTAGATTGTCTTACAGTTGTGTTTCCCTCATGATGATCGCACAATATACTCCACGCAATTTTGGCTATGCGTGTTGATGCAATTAGTTTAAAAGTATCTTCGCTTACTGCTCCATATATTGCATTCATAGCCTTTGAGTTGAAATCATATTCAGTTTTCTCTTCTTCGCTCCAATTAGTTCTAGGTTTTGCATTCCCTTTATCATCAACTGGAGTTTTCCATTCGTTTTCTATTGCATTCCAGACGCCTTCTCCTTGTGCTAGAATGTATATCTGCATTCGAGCTTTCCAGTAGGAGAAGTTTGTGCCAAGTAGAGCCGGGGGTCTATTGTTTGAAAGACCTTCTCTTGGGAACTCCATTTGGATCCTGCTGGTAACTTGAGCAGACCCGCTCTGATACCAATTGAAATTAATATAGACGTTTGAATTCGGAGACGTTGAAACAGACGTTGTGACACAAATATTTATAACGCAGTTTCAGGCAAGCAGCCCTAATCTGCGAGGCACTTCTCAAATTGAGAATTTGCCTAAATCCACTAAAAGCTTAATATTTAAAGTACACTTTGTTTAGGGAACGGGGATTACACAATATGATTTCCTATCAAGCTATTGAGACCTAAACACTTGAACTACTTTTCAAGGGGATTCGGGTATCTCTCTCAATTACTCTCGTGCTCACAATTAGGTGCTGAAAGCGTATCTTGATGAGTTGTGGAGCGGCTCCTTTTATAGGTCAAGAGATGAGGTATTGGTGGGATTGGGATTGCCGATCCTCTTTGGATTAGGAATATAAATCTTAAGACACGTTTGATTAAGGATTCCTTGTTTGACTAGAATTTGACAATATGTCTTATGTCAACAAGATGTGTTGAAACTCCAAAACTTGGAATCCTGTGGAAAGGAAAGCAGCTGGACTGGATTGTACAAACTCGTGGCATCCATTAGACTAGGCGACGCAATGTCACCTTATCTTTTTGTTCTTTGCATTAAAAGGTTATGTCACATGATCAAAGTTGAAGTTGCTGCCAAAAGATGGAAAGCTGTAAAACTATCCAGGTATGGCTTGGAACTCTCCCATCTTTTATTTGCTTATGTGATATGGTTTTAACTACAGAGGCTATTGAGGAGCAAATCGGAGTTATTAAATCTTGTATTGAGAAATTTGAAGCTATATCTGGGCAGCGGGCCAGTCTCCAAAAATCACAAATTTTATTCTCTAGGAATGTTAATCGTGAGACTGTTGATAGAATTACTCAGGCTGCTAGAATTGGAAGGGTTGACAACTTAGGATGCTATTTGGGTGTTCCTTCCCTACATGGACATATCACTAACTCTTTGTTCACTCCCCTCATGGAAACAGTGGAGAGTAGATTGGAAGGTGGAAAGGGAAGCATCTTACGCTAGCTGGGAGGAGAGTTCTTGCTCAGAGTGTCTTAAACACAATCTCGTACTATGCTATGCAAACCATGTTCCTTACTAAAGGAGTTTGCAACAGTAATGCAACCTAGAAGTCATGGTGGGCTTGGAATTCGTATACTAAAGGACATGAACTTGGCGTTTCTAGCCAAGATGGGGTGGTGTCTGTTAGAAGGGCATAATCAACTCTGGGCTAGAACGATTACTTCAAAATACATGCAGGATAAGAACATTAAACTAGGAGTGGCTTGGAAGCATGAAGCATCCAACATATGGATGGGGATTTGCGCGACTGCACTAGTTCTTAAACAAGGAGTCAAGAAAATTGTAAGATCAGGTTGTGCTACTCTTTTTTGGCACGATAGATGGCTTGGGGATAATGGTGAGACAATACATAAAGAGGTGTTGGAAGGAGCCCAAAGTGAAATTGCTCAAACTGTGGCTAGCTACTGGATTCCGAGAGAAGGTTGGGATTGGCGCAAACTGGAAAGGAAAGTCTCAGATGATATGAAACAAAAATTGGAAAGCTATAACTTGGATAATCACGAGCCAAAAAAGATGGAATCTATTGGGACCGAGCACTACTACAAAAAAAGATATCCACTACACCCATAAAATGCTTTCCGCTACACCTGTACAGGTGTAGCGAAATCCAGTGTCGCTGAAAGCACTGGATTTCCGCTACACCCGTAGAAGGTGTAGCGGAAAGCTTTTTTAATTTTTTTAATATAGACTTTCCGCGGCACCCTTTAGTCTTAGGGTGCCGCGAAAAGTATTATATTATTTTTTTAATAATTGATTTCCGCGGCACCCGCGCAAGGTGACGCGGAAACAATTTTATTTTTTTTATATATTACTTTCCGCTACACCCTTTACGGAGAGGGTGTAGCGGAAATTTAATTTTTTTTTTTAATTTTATCCCAATTTTGATTATTACCCATTATTTGCTCAAAACCGGTACAGAATTTATTTTCAAATTCATCCAAAAAAATACAAAATTAATTACAAAAAATTAAACTATCTATTCACAATGATTTTCAAACCAACTCTAATAAATATGAACATAAACATAACTATATATATACTCCACAATTAATAATCAACACAATAAAACACTACAATATACTTATCAACACATTTAAAATTGAAATCAAGATATACATGCAATTGTTTAACGTAACAAAACATAAACATAAGTTAATAATAATAAAGATACTGTTTAAACGAAATAAAGTTACACGCACTCTTTACTAAAGTAATGTGCCCACAACTCACGAACTTCATCTATTTCATTAATAGAGTAGGGTGCATCTTCAAATACCTGCAAAAATATTTTAATTAATCAAATTAGTTAACATGCATGTTAATTGATAAATATTAATTTAAATATACACATTGTTGTATTTAAATTACTTACCTCAACTAGACAATTAAGCTTGGAATGCTTAGTAACAATCTCGTACGTACATGTATCGCATTACATAATATCCATATTCAGAACCTCCAGGTTGTTGTGGACACTACAAAATAGATATATATATTCATATTAAGATCATATCAAAATAAATAAAAATAAAGGTTAAATTTCATATTAAAACTTTAACTTTAACTTCATACTCTGCATTCTTTCCAATGAATCGTTCTAGTGCTTCGTGCAGGAACAGATCGAAATGACCTATATTAATAATAAACATTTATATCAATTTATAAATTTATAAATAACATAATAACATTTAATATACATATATTGATTTTTTACTTGCATATTCACATAAATTTTGACTTCAAGGTCGCGTTGCACACTTTTCAAAGGATCAAACACATACACCGTTTTTTAGGGTGTGCTAATCACGATAAGTATCCAATGATTACTACATGTACAAAGCATATATATATATATATATATATATATATATATATATATATATATATATATATATATATATATATATATATTTATATTCAAATTCTAATATCAAACCATTCAAATAAAGTTATTAAGTTATATAAATTAATAAAGTAAAAGAATTAACTCCAGTTGTGGGCTCACTAGCCACATTGTGCCCAACAGAAACACTAGGAAACATGCTATGATTAGAGTTTAAAATTGAAATGGGCCCAACCAACACTAACATTGTTAACAAACCCACTCTCAGCAATATTAATTCCTATAACACTACTAACATTATGGGAAGACAAGAAAGGTCCAGTAACAGCATCCGAATTAATCCCACTAGATGCAACAGGCCAAGAACCCAAAATGGAATTAATTGGAATAAATTAGCTAGTAAAGTAAAAGACTTACTTTGGTGATATGGTGCCAATATGAATTGCTGATCCTTGTGTTCGTCCATGACATGAATTAGATATGATGTAACGGCATTAGAATTTAAGTTAATCATATCGGCAGAAATTTGTGTTGGACACGCAAACCCAATTGATGTCACTCCATGCTGCTTACAGAACTTATTCAAAAACCTAAAAAATAACAAATAAGAAATTTTAATAAACTTTAAAAAACAAATGTATATAAAACACATGAACAATTTAAAACTTACATCATAAACACTTGTATAATTGAGACATCGAGCCAATTCATTGTCAACAAATCCTGTATATCCTCAATCATCACATAAATACCATTCACATGTGCATGATGGAAGATTGTCAAATCTATATCGAAATCAATGCACTCTTTCTCAACAGGGAGTGATGACAACGCTTTGACAAGCCCCTTGCAGTGTGTCCCCAAAAGCAAATAGACATTTTCACCAACAATTGGGGGTCTTTTAGCAGTAGCAGATTGCTCAACACTTTGATCCTTCATTTCCTTATTTTGTCTTTTGTGAGCTTATTTTGACATTTTCCTACCAATAATAGACAATAATTGAAAGAATGCATTCAGAGAGAAAATATAGCACTAATTGCCAATCATCACAACAGACAAAGCACAACATTTGAATATAGCAAAATTGTTTATAAAACAAATAGAAGTTTCACAACTAGAATGCATACCTCATCTAAAACAACTAAATGAGTAGGCCATTGTGCGTTAGTCCAAAGTACATCTCCCAAAGTCTTATACTGCGATGTTTGCACGGGGATATTATATCCGTCTGCACCATCACTCACATCATCGACCATCACTTTGACATGGTTGGGTAAAAGTGTCTCATTTTGCACTATTGTTATCTCATTTGTACTTGGGTAAACCGTACCCTTTGCAACTAAAATTGGCTTACCATCAAGACCACATAGGTAGAGGTTACACTTTTTCCGGCTCTCTCTCTCTCTCTCTCTCTCTCTCTCTCTATATATATATATATATATATATATATATATATATATATATATATATATATATATATATATATATATATATATATATATATATATATAAATATATGTTAGGTTTAAATTTACAAGAAAATAACATTTTGATTATAAAATCATTTTTAATATTACCTCAATTGTGGTTACTGGATATACATCAACTGAATGACAGCTGCTTCGGGCCGGAGGTTGATCACAAGGCGCATACGCACTTTGAGGAGTGCCAATTGAAACTCCTTGTGGAAATTGGTGTGTGGCTGACATGTTTTTCATCAATATATTGAGTTGTTGAGTGAGCATTTCAATCTTGGGTTGCACCTCCAACAATGTGTTTTGCCTGACCTTTTCCATTATCTGTTGGACATCATCAGTAGAGTATGAACTTTGAGTGGCCCGTTTTTGCTCTGGTTTACCAAATACTTGTCGGATGGTAGAGTATGAACCAACTCCTCTTACCGAACCCGAACCCCGTTTATCCTCTGGTTTACCAAGAGCTACAGACAATATGTCATGATGTCTGTTCGGTTGAAATGTCCCTTGACTAATCTCATCACATTTTTCTATCTGTTCCAATCAATTAGATAAAGACAAGTGTCAGTATTTTTATGAATATTATATATTCGTATAACAATTTTTTAAAAATAATACTTACAATTTTTCCAAACACCTCCTGTGTTTTCTCATTCGGAATGTAATAACTTCCATTTGCTGACTTCTTAGTTCTTGCCCGTAACCAGTCAAAACTACGATCATTGGACAATAATGACGAGCTAATAGAAGCACAAGAAGATTGTGAAGATAGAGGGTCTGATATCCTCCACTCTGATTGTTTGCCCGCATATCCCGCAGAACCTAAGAAGTGTGGATGCACATTACATTCCTGCCTTTGCTTTGCCTTCATACTTTTCTCCTATAATTCCAATCATATGTTAATATTAATAAAACAATTGTACTAAAAAACTTGAACTACTTATAATAAAATGAAATAAACATACCTTGAACGCACTACAAGAAAAATGCACATAGACAACGGTTAATAACCGTTGTCGTAGGGGTAAAACTTCTGTTGTTGAAGCCGGTGTTGTTGTAGGTCACGCGCATAGACAACGGTTTTTAACCGTTGTCTTTTCTAGAAACGACAACGGTTTTTCAACCGTTGTCTATTAAGTGTTGTTGAAACCAGTGTTGTTAAAAGTCACGCACATAGACAACGGTTTTAAACCGTTGTCATTTCTAGAAACGACAACGGTTTTCTAACCGTTGTCTATTAAGTGTTGTTGAAACCGGTGTTGTTAAAAGTCACGCACATAGACAACGGTTAAAAACCGTTGTCTTTTCTTGAAACGACAACGGTTTTCGAACCGTTGTCTATTAGGTGTTGTTGAAACCGGTGTTGTTAAAAGTCATGCACATAGACAACGGTTAAAAACCGTTGTCTTTTCTTGAGACGACAACGGTTTTCGAACCGTTGTCTATTAAGTGTTGTTGAAACCGGTGTTGTTAAAAGTCATACACATAGACAACGGTTTTTAACCGTTGTCTTTTTTAGAAACGACAACGGTTTTCGAACCGTTGTCTATTCAATGTTGTTGAAACCGGTGTTGTTAAAAGTCATACACATAGACAACGGTTTTTAACCGTTGTCTTTTCTTGTAAAGACAACGGTTTTCGAACCGTTGTCTATTAAGTGTTGTTGAAACCGGTGTTGTTAAAAGTCACACACATAGACAACGGTTATAAACCGTTGTCATTTCTATCAACGACAACGGTTTTTGACCCGTTGTCTATTCAATGTTTTTGAAACCGGTGTTGTTAAAAGTGATGCACATAGACAACGGTTTTGTAACTGTTGTCTTTTCTTTAAAAGACAACAGTTATAAACTGTTGTCTATTGTGTGTTGTTGAAATCGCTGTTGTTAAAAGTCACGCAGATAAACTGTTGTCTTTTGTAGAAAAGACAACAGTTTCAAATTGTTGTCTATTGTAAAATAGACAACGATTTTTAACCGTTGTCTCAACGGTTTTTAACCTGCTTAAATTTTAATCATATACCAAAAAACAATTTATCCATTCACCATGGCCAACTGTAGTTACATAATTTTGCACAAGCTAAGGTTCAAAATAACAAGTGTAAATACTTCCATGACCAATTCTCATCGAATCAAATATCATCCAAGTCATAATAATACAAAAAACAATTCGACGAAGTCATCATAATACTACAACAAACAATTCCACGAAGTCTAAAAGATCACAACGTTCTAATGATCAAATCATACCTACTGTATATAACTTGATATAATATCGGCCCATTCAGAACGCACCAGATCAATAACCGCTTTGTCATATTCAACTTGTTGGAACTACATGTAAAAAGTGAGTAAATAAATTAGTAATTGCAATGAAATTCGAAATAAGTTAGGAGTAATTTTCAAGAACCAATATACGGTAATAGAGTTTTAGCAGTTCTAAAGGCAAGAGCTTTTGTATTTTCTCTAATCTCTCCACTTTAAACTTTGTGAATAAAATGATCAAATTAAAAACTAAAAAGCATTCATTCAATAGACATCAACAATAAATGGAGTACTCAAAATTATACTGGCAACAAGAATCTCAAATGCATCATATTTCCACTTTGAAACATTGAAATCAAAATAATTTTAAACACGAATTAGAAATTGAATTATTACCAGTGCTTGAACAGAATCTTTATCATCAATGTCCGGCATGTTCTCAATTAAAGTCTTCAGGTAAGCCATGACATAGAAACCGCATTGGTTACTATCCGGCTGACGAGGAGCCTACAAATGTTAAATAAGATTTGCATGTGCATTACAATTTAACATATACAAACACTTATATCTAATTAGTTACAAATATTAAATTACCTTGACAATTTCCCAAGCAGTTTTACTTCGTCCTTTCTTTCCATTCCCAGAGGCCGCATGAACCATTTTAATAGCCCTTCAAATATATTGTTGATTATTCAGATTATGTGATAATCATACTGATATAAATCGAAAGAAATAACAAAAAAAAAACTTACATTTCTACAACATGTTTCCAATCATCATCGCGAATGCGATGACTAAGAGGGTCCCACAAATAAACAATATCCTTACTGACGTTGATAACTGTCAGAATCCAATGGAAACTATACAGAAACACAAAATTATATTACATCAATAGAAAATAATATGCAATGGAAAGTATAATTGTAATCATTCTTACCCTACATTACATGGCACCAAAAGTGATGCACTACTTGGATTGTCAATTAGTCTGTCTGCTAAAGCTCGTGCCCTACTTTCCAACTGTTTGTCTAGGAAATTTTTATCTGTTCTTGTCGTTGGCACATGACCTACATGACATGGCTGCATAAATCTGAATTTTTCAAGCTTGTTGTCTTCCATCATCTTTTTATACAAATACCTAACATTGGAATGGAAACTGAATTAGAATAACAAAGCATAGAAGTGATAAGTATATATAATTGACTCGAAATATATATTAAATCATACCATATGTACACAGCAATACATGTGTACGATATTGGCATCAATTGACAAAACGGAGTCACATCTTCGTCGTGCACATATAGAGTACATTCTTCCCCGAAGACATTTTCATCTAGCACTATTTTTAAACTCTCTCCATTCCCAAGTGCACGCTTGTAATAACAGTATAGTAGCCATAATGACTTAGGCATACTTGAGGAGTTCAACTCAAGCTTTTTGACTTCCTTGCTCGGTTTCTTCTTACATTGTTTCTAATTTGCAAAATATACACATATTAGGTAAATAAATAAATATACTAACCAAGACATGTGAATTATATACATGCACAAATTAACATCTCCTACAGTTTATATGAAAAATGCAAAACATTTGAAAATTGAGAGGATGAAGCAAATCTGCAAAACATTTGACAGAGGCACCAATACGTAGATAGTAATTTTTGCCTAATAAACTAAGTAAAATGTAAACTTCAGTAAAGAGGGAATATTTACCTCCAAGACATCTTCTTTGTCAATAAACTGCAGCTCATCATCATCATCTTCGAAATCCAATTTTTGTTTCATAAAACCAATTTCTTCTTCACTCAGCTTCATCGCACCCTTTGCATCCTTTGCAGTACAACTCCCTTTTTCTTCAATCGGAGATGATTTAAAGGCAACATTTTGAAGGACCAAATTTTCTAACTTTGCAACTCTGTCTTCTACTGTTGCTTGTCGTCTTAGAAGGACATTTTTCTCATGGTTAGGAAGCATCCCTTTACCCAATCTGAAATATGTTGAGGGATTGACATGTCCACCTATAGCCCTCACCCGACCTCCATGCTCCTTAGATTCAAGAGCCTGTGTCAGGATGTCCTCATTTGGTCCTTGAAGTTGCAACAAACCATCTTGCTTTTGCTGAATATATTCATCCTGTAATTCATGACAAATGACCATGATAACCACAATCTTTCGAAATACATAAAGAGGAAAATACC